GGAGGTACTTCGAAGCAGCAGCACCACTTGGAGCCCGGGGTTCCATGCAGCACTGCCCCTTTGAAATGCCTCAGCAGCATTTCAAAGGGGGCAGCACCGCCCGATTAACTAATCAAATAGTGGATGTAAAAATGCATCAACTATTCAATTAGTCAATTACACGATACTTAACATCCTTACTTGGGCAAGCACAGCATCAGTGACCCCCTGGGTGCTGCAGACAGTGAGTTTCATTCCTGCAGAGTGGGCCTGTGCAGGCTTCCACAGCCACATTCTTGGCCTCCGGATGCCTGGGCTAGTTGCAGAAGGGCAGACCAGCTCCTCCCAAAAGGCTGCTTCCTGTAGGGGGCTTGGTGCTTTAGGCTGCAAAGCAGCCACCCCATGCTGGCCAGAAAACCTCAGAAATTCCTGTGAATCCCCCTATATCTGCTCTGCCATATCTAGACATGCTTGTGTGAGGTGGGACACACCTTTAGTGGCAATTGCTGGCTGGCTGGCAGGACCTTCTCAGGGTGGCAGGCAATGCCACTTAGTATTGGATAAATATAAAGAACCCAGAAGCCATTGAATAGGAACACAAGAAACAAAATAAACCAACTTGGGGGAGAAGAGGTTGATGACAACTACAAAACCAAAAGGTGACAGGCCAGTCTGTTCAGCTAGCCATAGAGCTATTGCCAGCTGCCAGAAGCAAAAACCAGTCAAGCAGGATGAGCCAGCCAGTTCCTGCCACAGGGCAATATTTTGTTTTCCTTCCTTTTTTGGCACAGAATTCACCTGGAGTACTGAATTATTAATCCCTTTTTTTGGCATTTAAACCTTCATAGTTACAGGACTTAAAAGGAAGTGAATCTATATAGGTTCAAAGAACATAGTGTTTAAGCTATAACATTTTATTTAATTTAGCATCTGGCAGTGCTTAATATACACTCCGTGGAAGTCAAATGGATGAAAAAATATTACTGTACCTTAGGTATTAAATTCTTTCATTTATTCACCCTAGAACCAAATTATATACTATCTAGTTCAGTCATTTTATTAAGCCATTTTTGAATTTCATAATTAAATTTTCTGAAATAATTTTACATCAAAGTAAATACACAAAGTAGTAGGTTAAGTAATTGTGAGAAAATATATTTGTTGATGGTGCCTATGGCTGTAACATATCAATAGTCAGTACAAAGTACTCTGGCCATCAGAAAATTTAATTCTTCAAGCAGCCATGCTATTGATTTCTACAGCTGGTTATTTCCAGGATCTTCATTACAGCTGTCAGCACCAAACATTTTAAAAAACGTATATCTAGTAAGTAACATTGTATTAGGTGTCCTTTAAAGTGACATTGCCAAATTTGCCTTATAACATTCAAATATGTTGACCCCATACCAAAACTGACACATGAACTCAAGCTTATCACAGTTACTTAAGAAGTTTTGGCACACTTAGTGTAGGAACGGTGATTTCTTTAAAAATTGGCACATAGTTAGGATTTGGTTGGCTTGAACCTTGGTCCAGAGTTTCAATGATGGTCTGTTTCATGTCCCTGCTGGCATCTCCTCTTACTGTCAGCAAAGCCGCAATGTGGTCATCTCTGCCAAACAAAAGTACAAACCAGAAATGTCAGTACAAGTAATGAAGCACTTGTCACATTTTCCTTGACAAAATATGTTAGATCACAAATCTTCTAGTGTCCCCTCTCCCCGCCAACATCTTTTCATTCAGTGCCAGAATACCTTGGTACTTAGTCAGACTTCCAGGCATTCAAAAATTGTGCTCACAGGTTAACTTTTCAGTCTCTTCATGAAGAATTCTCACTTCGAAACTATGATATGGGTGTTGTGTAATACACTATAACCTTTGTATTCTGGGTGTGTCTAACTCAGGATCCTGGCAGGCTCAGGTGGATGTGGCTCTGTATACTGCTGCTTCTCCTCTCCCCCTGATGAGGGAGCAGCAGCCCAGCAACATATTCTGCTGGAGGTTTTTACCCACTGCTCCCATAGCGATGGGGGACACAGAGTTCCTGGTAAGTGTCCTGCCCTCATCCCGCTCCTTTCCTGGCCTGTCACAATCATTAATCCAACAAACCCTGTTGCACAGAGTTGCTGGGTTAAAGAGATTCAGTTGTATACATTTGTTCTATATTCCCAAAATATGTCCTTTCATATGCCAAAGTACATACCCATCCACACCACTATCACAGGTGTTAAATTATTAGCATTTTATTATATGGATCTTACAAAAAAGTTGATTAAACCATACAATCGAAAAAAAACCAATAAAGGATATATATACACCCCACACAAGACTACTCTCTGTAACCTAGGATTAATCTTAAAATAATCAATACTGGTAAAACTCAAAAGCTAAGAAGTATGAATGGTATTACCTGATGTCTGGGTATTTACTAACTAATGTTGAGACTTCCAGATAAAGCAATGAAGGATCAGTCAGCTTGATAACTTCTGCAATGGCTACAATGATGTCACAAAGTCCTTCGGTGTCCTCTCCTGATCCCTATAAATTGAACAACAAAAAACATAGTCCATAAAAACAGCCAGACTGAGTCAGACCAAAGGTCCATCTAGCCCAGAATCATCTAATAGTGGCCATGCCAGGTGTCCCAAGGACCAGAAAACTAGCTGCTGGTTGCTCTTCCCTGCTTAAAGGCTGGGGAAAACATACTATTGCAGCTCTTCCCGATTAAAGACTACAGCCCTAACTGCTGATTGACTTGCCCTGCTTAAAGGCTGGGGACATAGCCTACCGCAGCTTGGCCAGATTGCAGGCCTGAACCTTAACTGGTGGCCACCCACCCTGCTTAAAGACTAGGTGGATAGATAGCTGCACTTTGTCCTGGTCACCAGCCACAGTCCAAATTATGTACAGACCACCCACCTTGAGGGATGAGCCCCTCTTGTGTGTTGTTAATTCCCCCTTCCCCCTACTCTTTTTCTGATCTGAGAAGGCTCTGGCAGATGCAAATTGTAGGGAGGCATGGGTCCCCTCAGATGCCAATGCAAAGGGATGACTCTGCCAACCTACAAGAGCCAATAAGATAGTAAGTCAGAAAATATCAATCTCATTCTTAATGATTTCCAAAATTCTGTTCACTTTTTTGACTACTGCTGCACATTCATTGGATGTTTTCAGAGAACTATCCCCAATGACTCCAAGATGTCTTTCTTGAGTGGCAACAGCTAATTTAGACCCCATTATTTTAAGTATATAATTGGAATAATGTTTTTTCAATGTGCATTACTTTGCATTTATCAACACTGAATTTCATTAATGTAGATCTTGCCTCAGAGTGTTACAGCTAACTGCAATGTGGAATGGATAAGGAGTCAATATGTTGCAAGAGACCATTCAAGTGTTAAATGCCCACCACAGGACAATGTAGGATTAGTGGACTACAGGTTGTTGTAATGAGTCATAAATCCACTAAGTGCCCTAATTACAACTATGTGAATGAAACCAAACTATCACAAGGCTCTTGAATCTACTCACACAGAAAAGTGATTAATGATAGAAACACCCGGTCGTTCAGGGGCAAACACTTTCACAAAACAATAACACCATAGTTGACCTGTCAGTCCTCATACTCAAACCTGCACAACACCTTCAAAAGATGAGTTTGGGATCTGAAATTCATATTTGCTGGCTACAAAAATCCTGGGCTTAATGAAGACACTGGATTTATGGTTCATTATTATAAACTGTAACCCACTGATCCTTCTTTGTCCTATGACTGTGCAGGTATTAAATGCCCACTTCACTCTGAATGGTCTCTAGCATCATATGTGACCTCCTTCTCCATCCCAGCTGTGAACTCTGAGTACCTATCCCAGACCTGACAAGGACCTCTGTGTAAGCTTGAAAGCTTGTATCTTTCACCAACAGAAGTTGGTCCAATAAAACATAATACCTCAGCCATAATATATGGTAAGCTTGTGCACAACTGCATTCAGCTAAGAAGTTCAACAATACAGCTTAAATTCATGCTCAGAATTCCAGAAAGGATGCAACAATGCCCAAGAAAACTTAAAACAGAAAATAGAAAAGAAGTCTCTTCAGACCAATTGCCACATTTGAACACTTTGCATATCATGCTTTAACCCAGAATTAAATGCCTTTATATATCTTTAATTAAAATGAATTGTGCATTTCTAATCCTTTATTAATAGATTAATAGAACATAATTGGAGGGTAAAATACTTACAGCTGCTAACTTTTTAAATAGAAATCTGAACTGGTCTGCTTCTTTGATCATTCTTTCTGCACCTTCTTTTCTCTCTTCTGCATTCTTGAAAGATATACGTTTTAACATAATAGCCCTGATGTATTCCACAACCACTCTACGATGGGCCTCAACAGTCATTTTCTAAGGAAAAGAAAGATTAGAGTTGTACCAGGTAATTTAACAAATTACAGATCTGTACAGAATTATAATCAGACTTTTAAAATGTGCTTCTACTTTCACAAATTGGTCAAGGTAGCTTTCCACGACAAGTGACTGCAGCAGCAGTAAAAGATTCTTGTAAGTTTTAAAAGGCTGATTTTGCTAGTGGGGAACATTATAAACAGCTGCTGAATGTTTGGATCAAAATCTGGTTTCAGATACACAGATGAAAATCCAAAATAATGCCAGTGAGTTGCACAAAGTTGTTCTAGATTTACATCAGATTAACAGAGATAAGAATCAGGCCTTTGTGCCAAAGGAAGGGCCAGATACTGCTAAGGTGGAGGCAGTGGAAATAATGATGAATGTGGACTGTTTAGAAACTCAAAAACTCCCATGGAATGATGTAAATAAATGACAACTTAAGAGGAGCTTTATACAGACCCTACTTATTCTCTCCTAAACATTTACTAACGGTTTCCACAAATGGATAAACTCAGTGTCCTCCAGACTATTGGTGACAAGGAGGTAAAGTGCACTGTGTCTTCAGTGATGAAACGGCAGATGGTGGTTTTGAGAGAACAGATGACAGTAAGGGTCTGCTGGTTATGAAAAGCTATGTTGGCCCAAACCTCTTACAATGAGATGGTGGCTAGAGTTGTCAACAAGGGATTGGGGAGGGAGGCAAAGGGATCAGCTGTTCAGGTTCCAGCAATTTAAAAGGGCCTCAGACTCTGGGCTGCGGCTCCTGCTGCTCCTACTTCAGCAGCAATGGTGGCTGGTAGGGATGTAAGGCTACTGGTTAACCTTAACCAGTAAATATCATCCCAGTAAGGGTTAAGTTACCCGTTAACCAATTAATCATTCACATTCCTAGTGGTTGAATCCCCAGGCTCTTTAAATTGCTGCTGGAGCCCTGTGCAGCGGTGAGATTTGGGTGTCCCTAGTCCAACAGAAGGTTATGATGCAAAAATTGTCTTTACTGGGGCTAAAAATCATTTATCATAAGGACTCTCTGACCAGTCTCTTCTAGTCTCTTACGCCTGAAAAGTAAGGGAGGCATAGACTACACGTAATTAGGGTCCTTATTCCAATCATACCAAATTATTAGAGAATGCATCAGATTTTATGTTCAGTGATTTTTCCTAAACCCTGACTCTGTCAGCTTCAGACATTTTATTTTGATAAAGGAGGAAAACTCGGTAAAATTATTTTAACTCCACAAAACTGAATTAAAATTAAATTGATTGAAGGGAAATGTCCAAGCACAATATTTAAAAGTAAAAGATAAAAAATAGTTTTGAGCTACAGTACAAGCAGCAGTTCAGAGATCCATCAGCATATAGAAAAAACAGGAGCTGAGTTGGGACATTATACTATAGAATTCCACTCTCAGCAGGAGGTGTATGGCCTCAAGTAGACTGATTGCTTTATACTGGTTCTGGAATTTACAGAACATGCAATTCCAAGGATGTACTGTAGATGCACAACTTTAACATCAAGACCAAAATCTGTCTGCATGTATATTTATAGACACATACATATATACACACAATATATACACACAGAGATATATAGATTCATTATAACACTATTTTACTGAGTCCAGATTTTCACAATATTAAATTCCTGTTCACGTCATGGGTTAAATCCTTTAGACCTAACCTTCCTTAGGAAGAGTTAATAGGAGTCTAAGTTAACAAAGGAGACATGAGAAAATTAGGATTTAGACTTTGTTATAGTTTTGTTTTTACTAATAAGCAAATTGTTATTTTTTCTCAATTACATAAATTAACAATATAGTCAAAACAATCTGACTTGATACTCAGAGAATTGTTAGCAAAATACCTTTTTATAGGGTTTTTTAATTCTTGCAAAATCATTGAAATAATCCTCTACAGTGACACAGATAGTGTCCACAGCATTAGATCCAATCAGCCACTTCTTTGTCATCAGCTCATTGAGATGCGGCTGAAAACAACAATGAAAACTAATCAGAACATTTTTGAATGATGCCTATCCCCACACTTCCATCAGATCTTAAAATTAAATTCAGAACAACAACAGGTAACAAAGTTTATTCCATAAATGTAGACCATTTCTAAGTCCTTCATATGAAAGAAGTAAATACATATGCAAATAAATTATACTGGCAGTAAAAAGTATACTATTGCAATGTTAGCTTAAACTATAGTAAGCAGCTAACTACTGATTATAGTGTTTGCTTTGTGATAATCTACTGACAGTTTTAAGGCATTTACTATGGATAAGGTAACTGTGGTATTGTGCTCTAAATAAACACAGAGATGAAAAGAACAAAAATTATCAGCCCAAGATAACTGTACCTTTTAATCATTTTTATACTTCAGTATTATTTGTCCTCTCCTGAATGAGCCATGATTTACTACTACAAATTCCTTCTCTGTCCACACCAAAATCAGTGATTCTTTCCCGACTACCTCTACCCACTTACTATCTTTTGCCTCTGAAGTCTTGATTCATCATTTTCCTCACTAATAAAATACAGTATCTTCTAAAGAATTATTCTCTCTCATACGAATACTGCGAGTGTTCACATAGGGAGTCAAAAAATTGTGAGAAGGGGCATGCCTGGGGAATTCTATGGGCAATTGCTAGTATGGAAGGAGTTCATTAATAAAAAAGGCCTGCTTGAACAGCTCCTAAGGTTTATAAAAAAAAAAAAAAATTACGTAAGCCTTCCATGATGCATGGGTACAGCTTGTGGTCAAAACACTTAGGCTATGTCTACACTGCCGGGTTTTTGTGCAAGAAGTCTTTTGCGGCGCGCAAAAGCACGTTGACACCTCAAAGCACATCGCTTTTGCGATGCACTTTTGCGCAAGAGAATGGCCATCAGAGCACCTATGCTTTTTCAGATAGGCTCTTTTTGCACAACAAACCCCGTAGAGCATCCACAAATGCCTTTTTGCACAAAAGCTGTAGTGCAAAAAGGAGTTATGCCTCGTAGAAAGAGGTATACCTACACCTCAAAAAGGAGGTATACCTACACCTCGATTGACTGTAGATTTTCTTGCACAAAAATGCGCTTGAGGTGTGGATGCTCTGCGGGGTTTTGCGCAAAAACCTTGTAGTGTAGATGTAGCCTTAGAGAATATGGAAGTCACAAGTGCTATTGCCAGTTTGTTGCAAAGCAGCAGAGCTACACAGCCCTAGAGGAATCAACTCTTTTTTATTCTCCATGTTTTTATTTAAAGAAAACCCATCACATTCCAAGGGAAATATTATACAAGAAAGTATGTTAAAGATGCATGTTTCAGAACCAAAAGTTAGGAAATGCCACAGTTAAAGATGCAGACACAACTTTATCTCCTTCTCCAACATGTGCTCAATACAGTCTCACTTTGTGATCTTAAGTTATTTCCCAAATAATGAAATATATTAGCCTTTGTTTTCACTCTAATGTTATATCTATATGCTAGACACACTGTCTCCTCAAATCATTTGTGTGAAGTATACACAAATCTGTATTTTTACATAACATACTACACATATTTATACCTTGCACTGGTGAGGTTGTTGACATATTGCTAACATGCAATACAAAAACCACTCAAGCAGCCAAGATAGATTATTAATTAACTACCTTATTCCCGAATATCATAATAAAAAGGTTCTTTTTGGAGGAAAAAAGTTCCAACCTCTAAATCCATGAAGACTTCATCTAGCAGGCTAGAGCATCCTTCCTTGGCAATGGTATCTAAAATTACATCCATGTTTGCATGGCTGCTTGACAATCCCTCTTCCATTTCATTTTTCAAGTATTTCCTTTTCAAACTGATTATAGATTCTCTGTGATAAACAATAAGATTTTTCAGCATCCAGTCTGACATGTATAGACTAGTACACTGTTTTTCATTGTTATTAAATTGCATTTGTGAACTCGTGTATATGCATGAATGACATTGGGCAGTATTGTTTTGGGAGGATGATGGTCTTTGTAGTTTGCCCTGGAGGTCGTTATTCCAGCACCCAGCTATGTCCCTTTAATGGCCAGCTTAGCCACTGTGTATGTGTGATACTCTTCTACAGATAGAGGCCTGGAGGGCCAAAGAACTGGCTCTGAGTGTTTGAGTTCCTTGAGCTCTGAAGTAATAGACAGGTGGGATATCAAGCAAACAAAATATGGTATTGGCACCAACATTTAGACCCTCTATTTTCTAATTTTTTTTACTAGAGTCAGTTCTCAAGAAGTTGGTTTGTCAGAAGTGATTCCAGTCTTAGATTCATGCTGTGAAATGCAAGACTGGTGGATAATATGCCAACTATGCATGATTTAATTAAGGAGAATGGCTCATTTTTTGTGTATATTATTGAAATCTCATTGTAGCTGGGCTAATTTGGGAACAGTTTGCACTGGGCTGGTACATAGTATAGCAGGAATAAAAGGGGAATTGATAGGGAAGAAACATAATAATGCTTTTTGCATCCACTCTGAGAAGTCGAAGGTCTCCTACCCCAAAACTGAACTGAATATAGGATATTTATCTTTCATCTTTGGGACAAATCCCAGGCTGGAGATAAAGTTGTAACTTCCCTCCTATACTACAAAATCCTTGTGTGTTCTAATAAAATTCCTCACTACAGCATTTTCAGAAAATGCAAGGCTGACAGTGCTCAGTGACTTGAAAAAAATCTACGAAGAATTCTTAGAATCATTTCAGATTTTCCTGGCACTGACCACCATAGGCCTATTACAGATGGTTACATATAATTGGTGGCTCTTTTGATGTAATATTTGGTCCAAAACTGGAGATTAGAAAGGTGAAAATTAGACCCTCCTCATGGACCTTTATCTTCTGCATTTTGTGATGGGGAACCTGTCAGAACAAGAAATAGGATTTGATGGTCTTCAAAATGTAACAAGTCGAGAGTACTACTAAATATCATGAGGAATTATCTTGTCTCTCTTCCAGATCAACCTATCAAGCATGTGGTAAGACTGTATGATAATAATTTATCCTCAGTCACTACAATGGTCTGTACACATCCTTTTCTCCAGCTTTGCCTATACAGGTCACAATGGCTTACAGATGAGTTATAACAGTTCGGCTACGTCTACACTGGCCCCTTTTCCAGAAGGGGCATGTAAATTTCACCTATCGTAGTAGGGAAATGCGCGGGGGATTTAAATATCCCCCGCGGCATTTAAATAAAAATGTCCGCCGCTTTTTTCCGGCTTTTAAAAAAGCCGGAAAAGAGCGTCTACACTGGCCCCGATCCTCCGGAAAAAGCGCCCTTTTCCGGAGGCTCTTATTCCTACTTTGAAGTATAGGAATAAGTACTTTGAAGTAGGAATAAGAGCCTCCGGAAAAGGGCGCTTTTTCCGGAGGATCGGGGCCAGTGTAGACGCTCTTTTCCGGCTTTTTTAAAAGCCGGAAAAAAGCGGCGGACATTTTTATTTAAATGCCGCGGGGGATATTTAAATCCCCCGCGCATTTCCCTACTACGATAGGTGAAATTTACATGCCCCTTCCGGAAAAGGGGCCAGTGTAGACGAGCCCTTCAAGTTTAAGACAAAACAGCTAGAATGCCAGTGGCAGAAGCCAGTGACTAAAGCTAATTGATAAAGATGTCTTTAAATTCTCATGCCCAGGATCAGAAGTGCAAAACAAAAATTATATTTCTTTCAAAAGATGTGCAAAGTCTTAGTTGGTGGTTTTATTTTGAATGTACACAGCTTGATTAGCTTGAGCTGCTTTTGCTTAGTGGCCAATTTCATTTCACTTAAATGATTTGATATCTGCCTTTCTCCCTCTGCATTCGGCTGAAATATCTGAGTTGAAGTTCCCTTTGTATAAAAAAGAAGGAACAGCTAGAAAGGCATCCTCCAAGAGGGGCTCTCAATTTTGTTTTTTATATGTATTATAAATTGAGATGAATAAAAAAATACTGATTTTTTTTACAATACTATATAAATGTGCAAACTTACTTAAAGGTCTGACAGTTGTTGATTACTGCAATCATATATTGAACATAGCACTGAGGATACTGACGATTTTTTAGGTGCTCCTCTTTATAAAACTGGGCCTCTTCTTTGTACCTATGGAAAACCCAAAACATGGCATTAAACAGATGAAAAACTACACAACTCTAAGCCAAATACCCACTTATAGCATGAACATGTACTGATAATTTGTGTCAAGCTGGTTGGTCACATAGTATTGGATCACCTCTGTTTCCAACTGATTCCATAGGTCTCTAGGGCTATGTCTATGCTACCAGGTTATTTCAAAATAAACTTATTCCTCTTCATAAGGAGGAATTATTATTTTGAAATAAGCCCATTATTTTGAAATAACAAGTTTAGTAGTATGGATGCTCACCTTGCTATTTTGAAATAAGGGGAGTTATTTCAAAATAACTCCCCAGTGTAAAAATCAGCTGCGTACAAGAAGGATGTGCCTGCTTAGCCACTTCTATTTAGAACCAGCAGATCTCAAAAACTTGACCACCAAAATAACTCCCCAGTGTAAAAATCAGCTGCGTACAAGAAGGATGTGCCTGCTTAGCCACTTCTATTTAGAACCAGCAGATCTCAAAAACTTGACCACCAATGGGATTGGAGCTGCTGCTCACCAACAGAACAAGAGTCCAAGGGGAGTGGGAAGGAAAAAAGTCAGCAAGGTAATATAGCCAGAAGAAAAAGGAACAGGTAGCATATCTGGGAGAGGATGGGGACTAGGCGATGGGGAAGCATGTACTGTATAAACAGGGCCGGACCAAGCCATTCCAGCGCCCCGGGTAGACAGGATAAATGCGCCTCGGGTTGGGGGAGGGCGCTTGCGTAGCCCTGCCCCCGCACCAGGGCGTGGGGGAGGGTGTATGCATGGCTCTGCCCCCACACATGAGAGAGGGTGCATGCACGGCTGTGGCCCTGCCCCCGCCCGGCGCATGGGGGAGGGCGCACAGAGCCAGCGGCAGCAGGACGCACGTGCCCGGCTCAGCCCAGCCCTGCTACCGCCGCTGGCGTGCAGCCTGGGGCCACCTGGGGCAGGCTGAGCCTGGCCGTGCAGGACCCTGCGACTGCGGGGGGAAAGGAGCTGCTGGCCGGTGCTGCGGGGGTTAACGCGGCCCCCGCCCCGGGCAGCCGCTGCAGGGTGGCCGCTGGGAGCTCCTGCAGCCTGCGATCTGGGAGCCAGGCCCCCCCCCCATAGGTTGGCGCCCCGGGCAGCTGCCCGGCTAGCCCATGCCTTAATCCAGCCCTGTGTATAAAGAAGTAGAGGTGGGAGCATGGTACAGAGAGAAGGGAGGATTAAGAGACTGTAGAGCACTTTTTATTTTACCTTGTGAGAAACGAACTCATTTGCTGAAGACAGAGAAGCAGTACCTTTGTTTTCAAATCTTCACTTATCTGAGCAGCCACCTGAAGATTCTGTTCAAACATCTAAAGCAAGAAATAGCTTAGTTAGAAAAATAGACTAATAGCTGGAAATAGTGACACTAATGTGGCAGGATTCCCTACAAAATGCTATTTGGAGACGTAAACTAGTGGGAGATCCCCAGGATTTCTTTTAAATTAAAACCGCACAATTTCTCCTCCTGGTTAATCCAAAGAACAGAACTGGCCATTAATTTAATAGATAAATTCTTGTCAGGCATCCACATGTCTGATTTTTTTTAAATGGTACTGAGAGGCAGTCAGATTTTTTTAAGGATGAAAGCACCACTCCTTCCATCTCCAAATCAATGCTAACTGGCTTTTCATTGTGGACCAATGTTTTTAAAGCAGCTCCTGAAGCATTTCTACTGAGGCTATTGAACAATTAAAAAGATTAATCATTAATCGCCTTGTAATGGAATTAGGGATGTTAGATAGTGGGTAACATAACAGTCAAGTAAACACATGAATTTTTAGTGGTTAGTTGACTATTCTATAGTCCCTGGGGGCAGGACTGGCAGCCAGCACAATCCAGCCCCATTCCTGGGGAGCCCCCTGCCACCCTGTGCTGCTGTTTCTGATACAGAGGCAGCCCCTGTCCGTGGGGAATCCGAGCTCCCCGTCGACAGAGACTGCTGGGGGCAAGAGGGCAGGAGAGGCTGCCACAAAGTGGCCTCTGTTCATGGAAGCCGGGGCTGGCCATGAACAGAGGCTGCTTTGTGGCATCCTCCCATTTCCCCCAGCATCGGCTCCTGCTCCCTCTCCCTTTGCTGCCTCTGATTCAGAGGCAGCAAGGGGGAGGGGAAATGCGAACTGTCGAGAAGATTAACCAATAAACCGAGGCTTATCAGTTAATCATCTACTCAACTACTCGTTCACATCCCTAAATAGAACAGAATTTACTTGAATATATGCTTGTGGCTTTTTTTCTGAAGAAAATTGACAACCTTTATTTCTACCTATTCCTGCAAGTGCAGGAGATAGCTTGACATCAGGGATGCATCTTGTTCTGAAACACTAACACTGTACAATGCTCAAAACTAGCACAAGCTGACAATGCTCTAAAAATGTGGGGAAAGAGAATCGAAAGAAGACATTCAGCTGAAAACAAGAAGGGAAATAGATTAAAACCTGAGAGAATGTACAGGTTATCTTTATGCTGCCACGTTTCTGAAAGTCTTTCATTGTTGCATTAGTAGTGGGGCTGCTCCACTGATGCTAGTAATGGTTACAGTGCTAATGTAGAGCAATTGTGAGCATTTTAACTATTTGTCTCCTAACCATGCTCAGAACCTATAATGAGAACTGGTAGTAGTACAAGTGAGAATCAATTTGATTAAAGCAGTATGGATGAGGTCATGGAGACAAGGAAAAGAAACTGGGAAAATAATCTCTTTTGTTCCCTTTAGATATTTTCCAACCACTTTTAAAGATAACCTGAAAAATTAAAAAAAAGTGGGCTTGTGACTTTACTTTTTATAGTTTAAAAAGATCGTTTAAAAGGCTCTCTACCCCAGAAAAAAAAAAGAGAGGTTTTTCTACTTTTTTAGTATTAAAAATGTCAGAAATTTCCCTAATTTTTGCTGAATAGTGATAGAAATGTAGCCGTGTTAGTCTGGGGTAGTTGAAGCAAAATGCAGGACCTTGTTAGTCTTTAAAGTGCTACATTGTCCTGCATTTTGCTCCTAATTTTTGCTGATTTCTTTGATGGTTCACATGTGAAATAGTGGGAGCTCTTAACTGAAGAAGCATTTAATGAGTGCTGGTTTTGGATCCTTCAAAGAGAGTGAGCTTTTCTTACAAGTGTTTTAGGTCCTAGATACCACAGGAAATTTTCACTGATGTAGCTGTCCTGGTGTAGATCTCTAATACTGATGCAGTTTACCAGTGTGATTTCTTCAGTAGCTTCCTGAAGTAAGTGACATGGGCAGTTTTCCACAAGTGTCGAAACATCCACATTAAGAATTTAAATAGAAGTCAATTATAAGAGTAATTCCTTCAATGGAAGTTTCTCTAAAATAAATAGGCTCTTAGTTTAAAAGTGGGGGGAGGTTGCCATTTTTATGCTAACACATGTTTAACTGTCTGAATAAGAACAATTTCTTTTTTCATTCAGGTTTTACTTCCTTGATACCACTGAGGTAAGAAACCCACTAGTTTGCCAGTCAATTATATCAGTGTTTCTCAATCTTTTTTTAATAAAGTACCCCGTTTTCAAAAAAAATTATAAATACCCCCCAGGACCGACAGTTTTCAGACACAAAAATTTTTTCTACCATTGCAACACATTTGTTTAAACAACTTAATCGTATCCAGGCGGGCAATGAAATTTTTGGGTGTAAAAAGTACAAAAATAATAAAGCGCTACAAAACAAACAAAAATTTAGTTTTCTCCAAATTTCAGTTGTGTTGATATACCCCCCACGCTTCTCTCGAGTACTCTTAAGGGTACTCCTACCACTGGTTGAGAAACACTGAATTATACTATTCTACAACTGATAAAACTTGACTTTCTAATGTTAAAAAAAAAATCAAAACAAGCAGTAAAAAGAACAGCATCTTTTTTGTTTGTTTGTTTTGGTGGACCAAAGCGGAAAGAAGGAGACACTTTCCATGTCCTAACCTTTAACACATACCCAAACCTTTTAAAGGTCACCTCTAATTTTGTAGAGTGCAAGAACATTTCTGTGTGAACCCTGGCACAATCTTTTTAACATTCTATTTCATTCTTACCCTTACATAACATTCTTTAGATCCATAGTCACCAACCAGCCGATTGATTGCGGGGGCACTGCCAGTTGATTGCGAGGCAGTATTCCCAGCTCTCCCAGATCCTCCCCACTCCCAACAAGGAGCCTGCGCTGGCACTACAACCTCCTGCAAAAATAGAGCTAGCTCTGGCTTCTTGCGGCATATGGAAGTCCCGTGGCTCGGCGCCAGATCCGGAGGAAAAGAAGGGAAGACAAGCAAGGGAAGGAAGGGAAGACAAGAAAACGCGTACTCCTTCCCTGCCCACATGCTTTCTTGTCTTTCCTTCCTTCCCCATGCTCTGGGAAGGTGGAGGGGAAGGAGGAGGAGGAAGTTAAGATGGTGGTGCAGGATCTGGAGTAGCTGGATTTCTTAAAGGAGCCTCATCTGCACTTCTTCCAGCACTGCCTGCAGATCCTGCCCCAGAGATCCTTGTCCCTGGAGACCCCCAGGTACCAGCTGAGCTGCTCCTGCTCCCTCTCCTCTGGCCAGACCCCCACCAGCACCATGGCCCCTGGCCAGACACCCACCAGCACCTTGCCCCCTGGCCAGACTTCCCAATGGCTACAGCGTACATCTAGCTGCAGCATCATAACACACCTGCACCCTCTGCCCTGAGTCCCTCACATCCCCAAACTCCTGCACCATCCACATGTCTGTGGACTGCTCAGCACCCAACCCTTCACCTGACCCCAACACTCTCCAGCCTGGAGCCCCCTTCCCGAGCCAGCATCCCCTTCTCCACCTCCTCCTGCACCCAAATTCCCTCCCAGAGCTTGCACCTCTCACCTGTACCCACAACCAAGTCCCTTATTCCCACCCCAAGGCCCGCACCACCTGTTTCAACCCAGTAAGAGTAAGAGCTGGGGACAGCAAGTGATAGAGAGGAAAGAAGTGGAGAGCGCAGGGCTTCAAGGAAGTGGTGGGATCTTGGAGAAGGGATGGGGTAGATCTTGACTTGCCCTGCCATTTAAAAAGTGTTCTTGGTAGTAAAAAGGTTGGAGACCACTGCTTTAAATTTTTCATAGATTTCAATTGAACAAAAATTCAAGGCAAAAATAGGAAAGATGGATGCTCTTACTCAGTATTGTCTAAGGATAATAAGTGAATCTTCAGTCAGTTCTTAAAATATTGTTAACATTTAATAATATTGTACTGAAAAGGAGGTAGGTAGCAGGCAAAATACCATCAGTACAGCAGAAAAAAGCTGAAGAAAATCATGATGGATTCACTGATGTTTCTGGATAGTTTTACATTCTTAGGAGAGAAACATGAAAGTGTTACAAATATTCTGAATGTGCATTCTTCCAGCTCAAGAGACTGTCACTCCTCTAAATAAGCATCTCATATGAGAAAATAAAACCAAACCAATGTATATTGACATAAAGAATCTGAATTTCAAGAGTTTCCCAGTTTCCTTATTTTTCTCCCTGCCTCATTTTTTCCTTTTTTTTTTTTCTTCAGACTTTTTTTAAGATTAACTCATACCTGAAAAACAATAGCTGGGAGTGTAGTCTGATAGTACCCATCTTGATCTGCTTCTGGTTCAGTTTCTTTTATCCAGTCTTTTTTATCTGTCTCCAGTGCTTTTCGTAGCCAACCAATGATGTTAGACTGCAACAAATACAATTAGTTTAAAAAGAAATAGGAAAAAAGAAAAGACAAAATTATTTGTACTCAAAACAGGAAAAACCCCACTATAGCCTTCAGATTAATATCCCTTTTCATAATTAAAGCTATTTTAATCGATATGGAAAATCAGTTTTCATTCACTCTAGTAACTACTGTTATAACCATCACTGCAGTATTAGATGCCATGTACAAAATTGAGAGTTGTACAAAGTATGCACAAAAAGGTCAATACTAAACTAAATCACATTTGGCCATAGTTTGGATAGGAGATGTCTAAAATTAAAAACAAATTATATGTAATAGCTAATATGAAAAAGTTTTGGAAGAGAGATTAAATCTCATGCTTAACCAGTGTCTAGTGAAAGTATTAGGAGGCAACAATGTGGGGACAGACTATAGATTGAACCTCTTAAATCTGGGACTCTCTGGTCTGGCAACATTTGTGATCCACCAGGACCACGGATGTTGCTGGACCAGATGGCACTGGTGCCCGGGAATGCAAGCCAGTCAGAGTCCAGCGGAGGGGCGCCCCACCATCAGATGGGTGAGCCCCAGCCAGGCAGGGCATCAGAGGGACCAGCGAGCCCTGTTCCTGCGAAGCCCCATCCCAGTGCAGCAGCCATGGGGCAGTTGCGGAGCCCCATCCCTGGGAAGCCCCAGGCAGGACAGAAGCAGGGCAGCCATACAGCTCCATCCCTGAGAAGCTTCGGCTAGGTGGGGCAGAAGCGGGGCCACAGTGGCTGGGGATCTCCATCAAGTACTGCAGTGGAATCTCTGTCATGAAACAATGAGGAGTCCTGTGACACCTTCAAAACTAACTGATTTATTTGGGCATTAGTTAGTCTTTAAGGTACCATAAGACACCTTGTTTTGACAGATACAGATTAACACGACTACCCCTCTGAGATTTATCATGAAAGTGCAATTTATAAATATAGATTTTTTTTGGTTCATAACCGCACTCCAAACAAAAACAGTGTAACATTTTAGAGCTTATAAATTGGAGCATGAAAGGGCATGAATGTTTAGCATATCTGGCACATAAAAACCGTGCAACACTAGCTCCCACAGTGCCATGCAAATGGCTGTTCTCACTTTCAGGTGACATCATCATCTCACAAATGAAAAAATACTTGTTCCCCCAATCATTAAGACAAACAAGAAGTAGGACTGGATGGACTTGTATGAGGTCAACTGAAAAATACCATTTCTTTTGTTTCTTTCTACAGTGCAAATATTTTTAATAAAAATAATATAAAGCAAGCATTGCATTTTTGTATTATCTGTTATAATTGAAATCAGTATTTGAAAATGTACAAAATATCCAAAAATATTGAGAATACCAATTTAAACTGGCATTCTATTATTGTTTAACAGGGTGATTAAAACTGATTAATTGCATCTATTTTTATATCTAAATTGCTTTGGTGTTAACTGCATACATTAACTATCATTAACAGCCCTTTATAAATATTATATTCTAACCATTTATGTCAATTCGGGAGTCAATAAATTACAAATGCCACAATGGCTATTTCTCATACTAATACAGGCAGTCCCCGAGTTACGCGGATCCGACTTATGTGGGATCCGCAGTTACGAACGGGGTTTGCTGTCCCACTGCCCGCATGCTCCGCGGCTTTGCTCCGCGTCTCCCTGGCCTGCAGACCAGCAGACCAGGGAGATGGGGAGCAAAGCCGCGGAGTACGCAGGCAGCAGGACAGCCCAGACGCGCCACGGCTGTCCCGCTGCCGGCGTCCTCAGAGGCTTTGCTCCCCATCTCCCTGGTCTGCTGGTCTCCAGCAGACAAGCAGACCAGGGAGATGGGGAGCAAAGCCGCGGAGTACGCAGGCAGCAGGACAGCCCAGACGCGCCACGGCTGTCCCGCTGCCGGCGTCCTCAGAGGCTTTGCTCCCCATCTCCCTGGTCTGCTGGTCTCCAGCAGACAAGCAGACCAGGGAGATGGGGAGCAAAGCCGCGGAGTACGCAGGCAGCAGGACAGCCCAGACGCGCCACGGCTGTCCCGCTGCCGGCGTCCTCAGAGGCTTTGCTCCCCATCTCCCTGGTCTGCTGGTCTCCAGCAGACAAGCAGACCAGGGAGATGGGGAGCAAAGCCGCGGAGTACGCAGGCAGCAGGACAGCCCAGACGCGCCACGGCTGTCCCGCTGCCGGCGTCCTCAGAGGCTTTGCTCCCCATCTCCCTGGTCTGCTGGTCTCCAGCAGACAAGCAGACCAGGGAGATGGGGAGCAAAGCCGCGGAGTACGCAGGCAGCAGGACAGCCCAGACGCGCCACGGCTGTCCCGCTGCCGGCGTCCTCAGAGGCTTTGCTCCCCATCTCCCTGGTCTGCTGGTCTCCAGCAGACAAGCAGACCAGGGAGATGGGGAGCAAAGCCGCGGAGCATGCGGGCAGTGGGACAGCAAACCCCGTTCGTAACTGCGGATCCCACATAAGTCGGATCCGCGTAACTCGGGGACTGCCTGTAACATCTATGAAGCATATGTAATCCTGTGTTTTACTGAAAGGCAGCCATGAAATCATCCAACTGTTTTTTATATATAATCCATTACAACCAATTAAAGCGTAAGAAAAAGTCACAAGTTTTCATGTAATAAACAGCATTTTAAGAATTTAGGTACAAACACAAGGTGTCTTATTTTTATTTAAAGTAGTTCACAAGTTTGCTGTTACTTACAGTAAGTGTTGACATGTACTTGCTGAGAAGCTGATCCACCACATTTTGTGAAATTAAAGGATCTAGGGAATTTACATCTACTTCTGGGGCCAGGTCCAAATTTCCCATCATCTCTGTGCTGAATTGAAAAGATAAAGCCATAATTTGCAAATGAAGAAAATAAGTTATACAAATTTGCAACTTTTTTCATATGACTTCAACAGAGGAGTTTCCATTATTTACAAGTCTCTGAAAATTCTTAATCAATCCGGTAAATATATGTATTGAAGTATAAAGAAACCTCAAAACTAGAACTACTATTTGGTTAACCAAAAATACTTAAAGTAGTAATTAACTCACACAGATATATCTTTAATGTAGAAAGTCAACTTCTATATCCATTTCTAAATTATTTTTATCTAGAACTTTTGAGTGATTACTCATTACTAACTTTATTTTATACACAAAAAACTGTGCTAACTATGGACTCCTGACAGTCATTTAAACTTCATACAGTAGACAGAGAATGTAAACATTCTAAAATTTAGTCCCTGGGAATAATAATGTAAACAATTAAACATAATCAGCGCTTTAAGTACAAGCAGAGTACAGACACCTATCACATTAGAAAAGAAAGAGTCAATAATGAACATAGTCAACAATACTGATCATTTTATAGTTTCGTTAAGCAGCCATAAAGTTAACACCATAGTACTTTAAAAGTACACAGTGAATACAGAAGAGGAGACAGTACATTTACACGTTGTTACAGAACTAGGTATTCAGTGCAATAATTGTACTACAGGTTGGACCTCCAAAAACGGGGACTCCCTCATCCAGCAATATTCATGGTCCAGCACGACCACGGATGTTCTGAACCAGGGAGTCCTGTCTTGGAGCCCCAGTGGCATGGCAGCCCCAGTAATGGGGCCGGGGACATGGCAGTCCAGGCTGCCAGAGCCACAGCAACATGGCAGCCCAGCGGGGAGGTGAAAGGGGGGAGGCAGACTGGGGGGCCAGTGGCAGGGGATCTCCCCTGGTCTGGCAAATTCCCTCATTCAAGACAGATCAGGTCCCAAGGGTGCCGGACCAGAGAGGTCCAACCTGTATATGCCGTAGTCACGATGAAGATCACCTTTTTGTAGGCGGAAGAAAGTAGGGCAACCCTAACATATAAGTCATTTAGCAAGGGCAAAAACAAAAATTAAAGATATTAAAGCAAGAAAAAAAAAGTGTATGTGCACATGACTAAAGCCACAAGTCCACCAACGCATCAGACAGTAGCAGCAGCCCTTCATCTTCCAAACCCTAAAATGAAAGTAGCCAAGCAAAGTGCACACTTCCATAATCATCTTATTACAATTATGAAAGGGGTTCTAATGTTTGGAAAAACTTTTTAATGTCTTTTGTAAGTTGTAAATGAACAAATTAAAAATAAGGAAATAAAAATCCCTAATGTGTAAACATAAATGAGCTTATATTAGGGATAAAAAAAAGCCATTTAAAAATGTGACTGTGTAACCTCTTTATACACAGAGTGTACACAAGTGAAGCTTCCCTGTGAAAGTGAAGCCAGGAGCTTCATTGCAGACTCTGTAGTATAGCTGGTTCCGCTCCCAGGGAGGCTTCACTGCAGGCTCTGCAGTATAAAAATTAACTTACCAGTTAACTGTTTAAATGGATACACTTTTACATCCCTAAGATGTATATGTGTATTATATATAAATATACATTTCTATTATTTCCAGTTCACTTTTCTGAAGATAACCAACATATCCTCCTGTTCCCAGTTCCACCTCACTGGCCTTCTAGTTCACATATATCCACCACTGAGCTAGGAGGAGACTTTCTTCATAAACAATGACTATTTTACATAGCTCAACATCACCAAGACAATTTATAAATCTGAAGTGATGTCCAAACTCTACAGATATCTCTTTGCTCACTACTGAAATGCAGCCATCTCTGATGTGAAACACTTCAGTTCCAACAGCCATTGCAACACGAATTGCAAGAATTCAGAGACACCACAAAGAACTCCTTTATGCAACTGAAACCGTAGGGACTAATTTACATGGGCAAAGTGTAATTACTGAAGACAGAGGTTGGCCAGGATACATATCTGTTTCTAGCCATGCTCTAAAGAAACATGTTAGTAACCAGGACTTTAATTATAGGTTCAATTTAAAAAAAAAAGTCACAAGAAACAGCATTTCGTAGCACCATTCTAGGGAATTGCCTCAACATTGATTCAGGGGGAAGAGAGCCAACTGCCATGTTACCAACTACCACAGCCAGTTGCTCCTAGATATGTTCTAGGCCTGTCTACATCCCTGTCAGACATAACTAAACCAGCCTGAAAGTCCTTTTGTAGACACGCTAGGTCAATTCTTCTATCAGTCTAGCTCGACCTCTCAAGGAGGGGTTGACAAACTTGTGTGACAGAAAACCCTTTTCTTCACTGTATTAAGCATCTACAGTAAAGCAGTGTAGCTGAAGTATTGCAGCTATGCCACTGTAGTGTTTGTAGCGTAAACGTTTTTTTAACACTACAAGCTAAAAAACCACTCACCAATGATAAGCAGGAACTTTCCATGGGAAGCACTTAGGCCATCAATTTCTGCAGAAAAGCATCCCTTCAGGGCAGGAATTGTTTCTTTCCTGCTTATGTGCATTACTTAGTCCTAATTGAGGTCTCTTGGTGATACTATAAACTTTTACTAATACATTTTAAAATGTGCCTTGTAGGGATGTGATTAGTTGACTACCCAATAAGCCTAGATTTCTCGACTACTCACATTCCCCCCCCCCCCATTTGCTGTTTCAAAGACAGCAAGAAAGGGAAGCAGGAGCCTAGCTGGTGCTAGGTGGCTTAAAAGCTGCTTCCCCCCAGCACAGTCTCTTCAGTGCGGCCTGCTCCCCATGCCCACCCCTCATGCTGCTGCCTTGGGGCGGGGGGCAGAGAAGAATGCTGCAAAGCAGCCTCGTGCTTTTTAAAACGTAGGTAAGAGCTGTGCCGGGCTTGCTTAGACCCAGCTTGCACTGGGTCTGGGACCTACCCCCACTGCAGTTCTACTGTTTAAATATAGTAGGAGCCTGGCTCCTACTACATTTAAATTGCACAGCAGCAATGTGGGTAGTTCCTGGATCCAGCACGAGCCATGAAGAGCGCCTTCCCTTATCAACTAATTTGTATTGACTACATGATTAGCCAATTACCCACCTCTTAACATCCTTAGTTCCTAGCCCTTATAGTTGTAAAGTTAATATTCCAAATGTAGTCTATGCAGTGATATCTTCCTGAGCATTCAGGCGGTCTGCCTGAGGTATTTTTCAGAAGCTCAACATCTTGGTATCTAAGCACTAATCCACTCACCTTTGCTGCTGCCCAGAGGTTTCTATGGCACTGTATGATTGAAACATGACCATTTAGATCGTTAATATTGCCACTGTTGCAGCTGCAACAAATATTACACAAATTATGTCATGTAAGTTACATGACAGTGGAAAAGTCACAATCTTACAAATATGATTATCCTCTTTACATGTAAATATCATCCTTGTATCTAAAATTATTAATATTGACTATGTACCAGTATTTCAAATGCTTTTTGCTCCTCAGGTAACAGCCGTAAGGTAATTCACACATAGTCTGGCTAGCACATTGTGAATGAACTATTTAAGATGATGGCCCAATTAAAGAACACAGTAGGCCATAGAAGAAGCTTGTCCCTATCTGGTGAGCACTCCTGTGGACACTTAGCTAGAGTGTAGTAATGGCTGCTCCTATGAGTCATCAATTTATGCAAGGGCAGGTGATAAAACAGAGATTCTCAAATTTCACTACACCATGACCCGCTTCTGACAACAAAAATTACTGCGCAACTCCAGGAGACAGGACTGAAGCCTGGGCTGGCCAAGCCCTGCAGGCTCAGGGCCCCACTGCAGGAAAAAGCTTCAGCCCCAGGCAAGGGCATTAATCTGAGCCCTTCTGCCCAGGAGTGAAGCCTTTTGGATCCACCTTCTGACTGGGTGGCAGGGCTCAGGCTTCATCTATGGACCCCCGCAAGTGTAAGGCAGCTCTAATGATCACATTAAAATGGGGTCACATCCCACTTTGGGGTCTCAATCCACAGTTTGAGAACCTCCAGACTAAATCTTGTGACCCTGGACCAGGGGTGGACAAACTACGGCCTGCCAAAAGTTTTCCTCTGGCCCACCGTAGCCTTTGGCCAGACCGAGAAGAAAATATCATGTGGCCTAGCTGGGCAGCTCAGGCAGTCTGCTTGTCTTCTGTGGCCCAAGCTGCACTACTCCCACAAACAGCCAGTTGCCACTAGTGAGTGTGTTTCTCTGTGCACCCCTGGGGAGCAAGGGTCTCTGCATGCTGCTCCCACTCTAAGCACCACCTCACAGCTCTCATTGACTGGTTTCTCTGCCTGTCTGAGTGCCCCATTGAGCCGCTGGTGAGGAACCACCTATGGTAGCACCTCTCAGTTAGGGTTACCAGGTAACAAACAAAATACCAGACACACTGGCCAGCTGGGAAGGGAGCGGGGTTGCCCGGGAGGAAGGGGGGGACTCGAGGGGAGGGGACAGGAAGCAGAGCTGGTGGGGGAGAGGATCGGGGGCTGGCGGGAGATTGGGGGGGCAGTCGACAGGAAGCAGAGTTGGTCGGTGGGCGGGGGGGAGGGTGGAGCGGGGATGGTCGAGGGAAACTAGGGAAGGGGGGCTGGCCGGTGGGTGCAGAACTGGCCGGGGGAGCTCAGGAGGAGGGGAGAACTGGCCGCCGGAAGCCACCCAAGTAGGAATCTGATTTTACTAACAGTTGTGTCCAAAAGAGGCTGGGCTTCTGACCCTGGCATTGACCCTAAATCTCACTGCTGACTCCCCTTTATTTTTAACATCAACAGTTTATTAGTAAGTGTCTGATAAAATACACATTTGGATTTAGGCCATGGCATGCAGTCACGATGAGTATCTCTAGGGCATTTTCTATTTAGCAGTTGGTTTGGCTGTATAAAGAAATAGAACCAGAACTCCAGGGATCTCTACTCCTTAAAAAGACAGTTCTGAAAGACAGCCAATCTATAAAGAATTAAATATTTATTTGAGAGAAAGTGATTTAAGCCTTTTAATTCACTCCAAGCCTCACTTAATTTCTCCTCTACTTAGACATACATTCAATTCAAAGACAGCTGCTATGGCACCTTTTGGGAAAACAAAATAAACATGACTATTTTAGAATTCCTTTTTTCCAAATTTCATAGAAGCACCACACATGACCTTTCCGAGATTTGTAAGTTCATCTCCAGTGGGAAAAATTTACCCATTTCTAACCAAGATCACTGGCAGCTAATGTCGAAATTGGGTGCCTTCAGCATGACCGGCACCCTCTTTAGCACTTCTTTACATTCAAATACACTACTAGAGTATACAAGAATCAGGACATTAATTTAAAAACTTTTTAGGTACGAAGAGTATGAACAGCCCCCTGCTTGTTATAGTCGTTTTTTTGTTTTGTTTTTTGTTTCTGTTTGTTTGCAAGGCAGACAAACTACAGCTTTCCAGACAAAATGCATCCTGGACCTAATCACAAAAAAAATCTGCAGTGTAAATATATTTCATGCCTATTTATTGTCAAATATTGCTGAATTACAGATTTAGACTAGACCCAAAGAAAATAATAGCAAAACCACACATCTAGCTATAAAGAAAACAAGTGTATAAAAGTTCAAAGCTTCAGTCAATGCCAGCTATTGAGAAGAGTTAAGTACAGGAGAATGGTATTCATACACCATGAGGCAGGCACCACAAAACATGCATAAACCTAATGGTTTTGCCTGGAGACCTTTATATAACTAATTGAGCAAGGAATCAATAACCCCACACCTAGGCTGTGTCCAGACTCAGGGGTTTTTTCGAAAAAAGTAGCCTTTTTTCGAAAAAACTTCACCTGCGTCTAGACTGCAGCCACGTTCTTTCGAAATTAAATCGAAAGAATGCGGCTTTTCTTTCGACGGTGGTAAACCTAATTCCACGAGGAAGAACGCCTTCTTTCGAAAGTGCTCTTTCGAAAGAAGGCGTTCTTGAAAGCAAACAGGCTTTTTAGAAAGAGAGCATCCAGACTCACTGGGTGCTTTCTTTCGAAAAAGCGGCTTGCTTTTTCGAAATTCCGCGTGCAGTCTAGACGCGCTCTTTCGAAAGAGCCTCTTTCGAAAGAGGCTTGCAGTCTAGACATAGCCCTACATACTGGTAAAGACAGTATTTGCCTTTCAAACTGTTGTTCCTAATTACTATGTTGTATGATTAAGACTCTTCTAAAAAAATCAAATATGTTTGATGCTGTCCTGACATTACCCACACCACATAAAAGAAAACCACAAAGAATATTTATAGTACCATAGGAAAAAACTTCTGGGCAAAAATTCAAGCCCCGCCATGGAGAAAATTTCAGTGGAAAGTTATCACATTCTTTTCTGTATTGCAGTAATCATCACCCGAAACTCAAACAGCCAGAACCCTTCCTGAATGTGAATGCAGAAAGTAGTTAACCACACACATTTTCTGGTACTGTCACCAATGTCCAAAATGTTGGTCAAATATGTAAACTTTACAGAAAATGTTTTCAGTAAACTTAAATGTGAACATAGTCCATTTCACTCTAGAAAATACTTCACTAAATCTGCAAAGATTTTTTTTCAGATTAGTACATGCAAGTAACTGCATCACAGCAACAGAATGCTAAACTTACAAGAAATACGAGATAGCAAACATCACAACCAAAGCCATTTTAAGAAGCATTAGGCTTTAGCCAGAGAGCTTGCAACAAAGAAATGCAACAGCAACACTAAATTAACATTACACTGTTTTCTGTTTAGAAAGATATCCCTTTTTCTATTTCTTAAATATATGACACACACCACCAAAATCTAAATGCCTAACAACATATAATTCTGCACCAAACATGATACAAGCTCTACAAAAAGTACTTATAGGTCTATCAGTGTATAATATTGCACCAAATTAATTATACCTTGCCTCTGTATACAATCCAAATAAAACATATTTTACATATCTACTTATTTGAAACTATCCCTAATAAAACACTGTAAAATAAATAAATTGACATTACCTTTGATATGTATTTAAGACCCAGGTTAAAAGGCTAACAATCTCATTTGCTTCCAGATCTTCTAAAGCAAGATCCAGCATGCGTGTGGACAAAGCCTGGTGATACATGCTCAGTAATTTTTTGAAAATGTCATAATGTGGGGGGAAACACTGAACCATTAGATTTTTGGCCACTAGCAGATCATCAAGGACATATTTGCGTATGATTTCCAGATGGCGCACAAGCCACATTTTGTCAGATTCTCTAGTATCTGCTTGAGTGCCTTCAATCCTGGTAGTTACAGTTCTGTCCAAAATATTAAACATTTTTTCCTTCCATTTCTTTGGCCTGCCAGGAGGAATAAACCCAGTTTGTTTTTTCCGGTCTAGCATGCGCCTATCTATTTTTTCTTCCCTCTCAATTATCCTGACAACTGAGACAAGCAAGGTTGGGTCTCGCCGAACAGTAACTAGAGATCTTTGAACCACCATCCAGAGTTGTTTGGAAAGCTCCTCTGAGAGTTTTTGCATATCCCCAAAATAAATATGAATAAGATTCATGTCATGGGTGTTCTTGCTATCCATACGGTACTGCTCATACATTAGGTCATCACGAGAACACTCTAGATCCATCAACTTTCGATGGGCTTGCAGAAGTTCTCCTTGGTCAGTCAAATCCTGAGTCTCCCTAACTATCTCTGGCACTGAAAAATAAAGACAAAAAGAAAAAAATTGTAATACGGCACTATTAGAATACACAAATAAATGTTACAAAACTATGAATGTATCAAGAGAGACTGTAAAACAAGAGCAGAAAATTACTTCTATTTGTTATCCTTGTTCCCCTAAGTAATGGTTCACGGACATGTTCAAGAATTGCTGCTAACCATGTTTAGGTTTTTAGTTAACAATGAGTAGTCCTGTACCACTTTAGGCTATGTCTAGACTGCAAGCCTCTTTCAAAAAAGAGCGTCTAGACTGCAAGAAGTACTTTCAAAAAAGCAAGCCGCTTTCTCGAAAGAAAGCAGCGAGTGAGTCTGGATGCTCTCTTTCTAAAAAGCCCTGTTGGCATTCAAGAACGCCTTTTTTCGAAAGAGCACTTTCGAAAAAAGGCATTCTTCCTCGTGAAATGAGGTTTACCACCGTCGAAAGAAAAGCCGCATTCTTTCGATTTAATTTTGAAAGAACGCGGCTGCAGTCTAGACGCAGGTGAAGGTTTTTCAAAAAAAGGCTACTTTTTTCGAAAAAACCCCTGAGTCTGGACACAGCTTTATAGACTAATGAATATTAGTATCTAAGGTGGTACAGGGCTACTTGTCGTTTTTTAAAGTTGCAGACTAATATGGCTACCTCTCTGAGACTTTATATTTTTAATGACTGTTACATCTTTAATCATAATCTTTATTTTGATTATAGGCTACTATATCACTGATTTACAGAATCATAGCCAGCAGAAGGAACAACATTTATTTTTGTTTAAAATACCCTTAAAGCTGTATGAATAGTGCAGTGTACTCACTATTTCCTATATCATCAATAATTGGGATCTTCTTGCACCTCAAGCAAAATGAATTCCCTCCAATAAACTCCCCCTAACAAACTATGCAATTCCACTGAAGTTACTGAGGCTGCACAAACATAAACAAATGGAAATGAGCCTGGGTAAATGTTAAATTAAATTAAATGTTTCTTAAATTAATTAAGAAAGAGAACTTAAGTTCAACATTTTTTTTTTTACAATGAGATAGTCTTTAATGCCATTTGAATATACTTTGTCAATTTGTGATTGTCAAATCATAAGATTTGTGTTGAATTACCTGAGAAGATATTTTTGAGGTTTTCTACAGCTGCTGCCAGCTGGCTATGTTGGACTACAGCATCCTTAACATCCTTGAGGTTTTCTATGGTGTTAATACTTTGTCGCCAGTCTTTATTGACATCTATCAAAGATCGCTGTATGTCCTTTACGTCATTCAGTGCATTATGCAGTTGGCTTAAACCAGTTCGTACCCCATCCAACTGTGACTGGATTGCTGCCTATGAAGAGAGTTATTAAATTAACTTACTATACATTAACATAAAAATAAGATATGTTTTATTTTCAGCTATTCCACCAGTACCTTATAGTTACACACAAGAATGGTCTTAACTGGGCCACCTAACTTACTATCCTGTCTTCTGACAGTGGCCAGTTTAGCGGGTATGAACAGAACAGGACAGGACAATTTATTGAGTGATCCATCCTCTGTCTTTTCACTTTCAGCTTTTAGCAGAGATTTAGGGTTACCCAGAGCCTTATCTTGGCTAATAACAACTGACGCACTATCCTGCATGAATATGTCCAAGGGTGCATCTACACTGTAGTGCTTATCTCAAAATAAGCTACACAAATATTTCAAATAGGGAGCATCCATACAGTACTTATTTCGAAATAGAGCACATTTCTTCTGACTTCCCTTATTCCTTATACAATGAGGGTTACAGGAGTCGGAGTAAGTAGTCTTCCAGCTTGACAGTATTTTTATGCTATTTCGAAATAAATGGCTGCTGTGTAGACATGGATTAAGTTATATCAGAATAGTGCTAGTAATTTCAAAATAGTGTTGCAGTGTAGACATACCCTAATTCTTTTTTGAGACCAGTTATACTTTTGGCTTTGCAACATCCCCTGGCAATGAGTTCCATAGGTTCACTATGTGTTGTGTGAAGAAGTACTTCCTTTTGTAACTTCATTGGGTGACCCGTTTGTGTACTATGTGAAAAGATTAAAAAAACCACTTCCATATTCACTTTTCAAAAACCACTAATGATTTTATAGACTATCATATCTCCCCTTCCTTATCCTTTTTCATAACTCTGACTCCTCCCTTAGATGGATTATTGAAACTGAGATAAGAAATTCTTGTCGGTTCCTCTCCCTTGATTATTAGGATACTGGATCTTTGAGAAAGGGGAACAAAGTTGTGAAGCTCCATTTTCAGTTCTTGCAAAAATCCTTCTATCCCAACCTTCTGCTAGGGATGTGACAGTAAACGAGTAAACGGTTAACCAATGAGCCTGGGATCATTGATTAACCCTCACGGTTACATGCAGGCCCTCCCACCCCGCTGCCTCCATATCAGGAGGGAGCCAGATTGCTGAGAGCACCGGCTCCCTCTCTCCCGCACTGCTTGTGGGGAGCTGGCTCCCCCTACGAGTAAGTGTGTACCTACTGAAAATGTCAGTGGGTACATGTTTACCAAAATAAACAAATTTTAACATCTCTACCTTCTGCAGATACAAGGAGAATAATTAATACTCTATGTTTAAAAAGCCTTTTGGCACTAAGAGATATTCAGAGGCATATCATAAAATACTGCTGCTTAAAATAATTTAAATTTAACAAGAATACAACAAATTCATATTTAAACATTTAAATAAAGGCAAATAGGAAAAGGATATTCCAAGCCTTCAAACAGAACGCAGGTGCCTTCCCCTTCCTGAATCATACATATTACACTCCTTAGAATTTGGAGGCATCACTATAAGTAAAGTAAATTCAGTAAAAACAATCTTCAAGTTTTACTGAAAGATACCAATTCCTAATGATTATAATGGAGCTTTGTTTGCATAGATGTTGAAATACATAAGGAATAGAGTGTGCCTAGTGGTGAATTGTAGCAGTTGTGGGGCTTGAGGAGATTCATGGTATTTGAGTGATTATCTAGACAGAAGCAAAATGAATTATGAAGTTACAATCAATAACGAAGTTACAATCAATATACAGCTTTCATTCATGCAAAGCTTGGCACGTATCGTGCAACGTTTTTTTTGAAATACTGGTTGTATTGAGCAAAGACTAAAGTACAATCTGAACAGAAAATAAAGATTTCTCATTTGTTCTGCTCTTTGTTGATGCTGAGATCTATTAGTTTCATACCTTTAGTCGAGCTTCCACTGAGGCTTTCTTACGAGCTTCCCTCCTACGGTACTGCTCCACTTTATCCAACTGGTCAGGTCGCTGAAGCATTCCAGCTACTCTCTGTACAGCTGTTGCAACTGCTTCCCTGTCTGTTTCCTCCATTGTTGAGCAGTGTCTCAAAATGCATGAGCCTTCATAATTTAACAGGTCTAAATAAAAGCATAAAATGTTTAGAAAATCTATTTCAATTTTATAGTTACTTTATCACTTTGGAATAAAAATGTCTAATACATTACTTAAAGAAAAAGCCAGTTTTGGCAACAAGCGCGTAACAATCTTGATACCATCACTATTATAAACATTAGTAAAGTAGCAACAAAATATTTAAAAATACGCATTTTATTGCATTGCTCTACTTCAAGCATTTCCCTTGGTTAATAGTTCTTCCTTAAATGTTGCTATTCAAATTGCTCTAATTAAGTCTGTCAACAATTTGATTACAAATCTAATATTTTTTCCTTTTCAAATCAGGGTTAGATTATGCACCTAGAGTGGATGCTAAGGAGGAAATGAGAGACAAATGAGGAAGAATTGTCTGTTCAATGGCCAGATAAAACAACTATTCTTATTCTTGGAGGGCTACGACTGCTCTGACCTAGCACCCCAGGATGCAAAATCATGCAGAGCTCTCTCTTATTCCATTGGCATCAGTCTAGAGTGTTTCATGAGGGAGGGGAGAAACAAAATTTAAGACAAAGTCTAGAAATCTGGAGATTGCATACAAATTACATAAATCATCTTCTTAATACATATTTTACAAATGTGCATCTGTCAGTCTGTGAGTCCATTCAAGAACTCCTAAACAGTAGGAGCTAGGACCACCAGGTTTGGTATGTAGCCTCCTAATATCGTAACTTTAAAGCAAGGTCAAGGTTTGGTTGTGCCAGGATAATGGGATGTTCCTGGAATTCAATTATATCTCATAAAATGGAAAGGGAAGGATCTTGCAGGAGGGAGTTATTCTGCAGAATAACCATAGGGGGCAGCAAGGTGCCAGAGATGACAACTATAACCTCATTGGGCCAGGAGGGACCAGTGGTGAAGAAAGGCATAGCTAACTATTACATATTTCAGAGAGTTTATCGTGTGTCTGTCTGTGTGTAGTCCCCTTCCCTCAGCTGTGTCCACTGGAGCTCCAGCAGCCATAGACAGGTGGTTTTCACCTGGTCCCAAGCTGCTGTGGTGAGAGAGGGCTGGGGGGTGTCCTCGCTCTTCCTGGGGCAGCGTGTATACTGAATCCTGCATCCCTAGCTCCACTCCAGAGCAATGATTTAAATGAAGAAAAACAATCAGTTAAGGACCCAGATAAATCTTCTAGTAATTTGTATACTAAACGGATGAATACTGCCCATGTGAATAGTGTTTTATATTTACAACTCCTACAAGTCTCCTCATAGTCAATATTTATCCAAGGTATCCTCATAGTCAATATTTACTCCAGTGATAGGTATGCTGGAAAAGTCAGTAAGAAATAAATAATTCCACTAGGGATCTAAGTACACTAGAGATGTAAGTTCTAGTGAAAATGAAATACAAGCTAAAGTTAAACACTTGAGTGTGCAATGTTTAAGAAGAATCATTTTTTGACAAGCTAATGGAATTCCTCAGAAAGAAATGTGCTGTGCTAGCAATCCAAAGAAAATGCCATGTTATCTCCTAGGCACAGGAGTAGGCCTATCTGTCCTGGTTCAGTCAAGGGTCGGATAACAGTTTCAGACCATGAGATCTGGCATCACTGGGTACATCTACACACAGATGAAACCCTCCATCCTTGCCAGGTGAGAGAGGTTAGGCTCCAGCTCCAGCCCAATCATCTGCACAGCAATTTTTTTCAGGGCCAAAGCCTGAGCCCTGCAAACCTAAATCTGCTGACCCAAGCCAGCCATGGTTTTTTTTATCTTAATGCTGATGTACCCTTAGACACTGTCTCCATGCTATGTTCTCATATCACCTGCAAATCAGTTACCCTGGTGCTGCTCTTCCACAGCAATAGCTTTTATTCTGAAGTCCATCCCTTCCTCCTGCATACAAAGGAGTGAGAAAAACTCTACCCTCAATCACACCACAGTCTCTATGGGTATGTCTACACTTACACTTTCAAGAGAGGGGATGCAAATGAAGACATTTGAAATTGCAAATGAAGCGGGGATTTAAATATCCCGCGCTTCATTTGCATACTCCCATTATGGAGCTATTTCGAAATACAAAACTCAGGTAGATGCGGTTATTTCAGGAGAACACCCTTCTTCCGAAATAACCGAAATAGCCTCGTTTTATGAGGAATAAGGATTATTTCGGAAGAAGGGTGTTTTCCCGCAATAACTGCTTCTACACCTCATTTTGTGTTTCGCAATAGCGCTATTTCAAAATAGCGCCATAACGTGATTATGCAAATAAAGTGCAGGATATTTAAATCCCAGCTTCATTTGCAATTTCGAATGTCTTCATTTGCATCTCTCTCTCGAAAGATCTACAAGTGTAGATCTATTTGGAGAGATCACCTGACCGCAAATGGAGGGGAAGAAACATTTTATTACGCACACTCCAAAACTTAGTTGAGACGAGGGCCTGGTCTTCACCTAAAACTTAGGTTTTAGTTATATTGCTCAGGTCTGAAAATTGTCATGTGTGATGTAATTACCTAAACCCACTGTAGACACAGTTAGGCTGACAGAATAATTATTCCATAAACCTAGTTATTGCCATTCGAGGGAGTGGATCCACTGGTGTTAGAAAAATGCCATCTATCGCCTTAGATAGTATCAACAGTACAACAACATAGCTGGAGCATTTGTAGTGTAGACGTGCACTAGGAGTGGGCATAGAATTGCATCTCAGCTCCCATTTCCTAGAAGTTATTTTTCCTCCAGAAGATATGGACCTCTGTTGGACCACAAGAAAGGGCACCTAAAGAAGAATGCTTTAATGAATCTGAGATAAAACAGTTTGCCTCCATCCAAAGACAGGTGGGGCAAGACCGGGATACTTGCCCTCTTGATGTCAGCAGGGACAGATACAAGTCTACATTGATAGGCAGGTTTCACATACTTCTTGGTCTCTATTTTATCAAAAAGGTGATGAGTATTTTCTTGAACTTAGTGATCTTCAATTCTAAATACTTGGGCATCTGAATCATCAGCCACTTAAACTTCTTCAGTCATCAGGACACATCATCACAGATAAAAAGTAAGGGTACCATCAGGATAAGATACAAATTCCTGGCCAGCAGGCAAAGATTTTTTGCCATTGTCCACAGCTTCATCTAATTTTGACAGGAATGGCTCAGTGAATCCCCAACCTGTAGGGTCCTGGAGATTGACATTATTGGAAAAACCAAAGAGCTTTCAGAACAGATAAAACAAGAACCAAGACATCTGATCTGCCCATGTGCTCCCTGAATCCATGATTAGTTTCTTCTTCCTTCTCTGCAATATCACCTGTTCCCCCCAGTAAATAAATCATCTGCTTCCTCTTAACTCTTATACTTGAGAGCCAGGAAATTGGACAATGTTGGAACTGAATAAGCCCATCAGAAACTGCTCTCCACAGTCTCAAATGCCTCTTCCTAGCTAACTTCCCCGACTCTGAAATAGTTGACCATGTTGCTTCTCTTCCTCTCTTTCTCTAACAACTTCTCTAACTACTCCTTCAATGGATCCTCCTTATCTACCCACCAGCTTTCTGTGGGGGTTCTACAGGGCTCTGACTTTGGTCCCTTTTCTTTTCTTCTTCTGTACCTCACCATGGACTCGCATCTACAAAGAAGTTCAATGACCATCTCTATGCCAATGAATCATATATCTATCTTTCTACTCCACAGCCATCTCTGTCCATACTAAAATATCAGCCTGTCAGATATCTTCTTATGGATGTCTATTCCTCAGCTCAAACTAACCATGGTTAAAAGAGATCTCCAATTCTTCCTCCCCTCCCAAACTCTTCCTGCTACTTTATTTCTCAATCACTGTGGACAATACTATCATTCAGCCCATCTCTGCTTTCTATCCATTATCTTCAACTCAGTCATCTCTCTAGATCCTCATATCCAAATGATATCTAAATCCTGATAATTATTTTTTCATAACATCTGTAAGGCATATTCTCTCTCATCAACCAACATAGTTAAAACTCATTATCTCAGGTCTTTACTATTGCAATATCTTTCTCTTTGGTCTTGACAGATGCACTCTTGCCCTGTTCATATCCATTCAGAAAACTGCATCAAAGATCATTTTTCTAGACCATTAATGTGATCACATCAACCTCTCAATCCCTTTACTGCAGTGTTTCTCAAAGTAGTCTGTGGACCCACTCTAAGAAAACTGCTACCGGGCCACTCCACTTTGTTTACTTACCGGCTCTGCAGTCAAGAAACCTCTCAGCTCCCCTTGACTGCAAACGGGTGAACCCCAGCTAATGGGAGCCACGAGGCTTCGTTGCTGCAGAACCGGTAAGCAAACATATCAGAGCGGCCCAATAGCAGCTCTTTCAGAATGGGTCCACGGACTACTTTGAGAAACACTGCTCTGCTGGTACCTCCTTTTATACTGCAAACATGAGTCACTTGGATGGACTTTCAAGGCCCTTCTTGGCCAATCCCCAATCTACTCATCTCATTTACTATGGAGGTGTCCACACTTGCCTCTGACCCACAAGTTACTGTGACTTCAGCTCAGTGAACTTACGTATTTGCTATCCTACTATTTCAGTTTGATATCTAATTTCAAAACTAAATTCTATACAGGCAGTCCCCGAGTTACGCGGATCCGACTTACGTCGGATCCACAGTTACGAACGGGGATTTTCTCGCCCCGGACAACAGGAGCGGCGGGACGCCTGGTCCTGCCGCCCGTGTCCTCCGGGGCAAGAAAAGCTGCTCTGCGTCTCCCTGGTCTGCTGGTGGGGGCGGGAGGGAGAGGAGGGTCTGCTGGTGGGGGGCGCACTAGCTGCGTTCCGCCCCCCCAGCAGACCAGAGAGACGCTGAGCAAAGTGGAGGAGGACATTTTTTTTCAAAATGTCAAAAATACTGAAATGCTGACAAAATATTAGAAGGTAGCTGTATTAGTCATGCATCTGACGAAGTGGGTCTTTGCCCACGAAAGCTTATGCTCCTTCACTTCAGTTAGTCTATAAGGTGACAAAATATTGTGATCCCCAAAACTGGGGGACATTGCTGCAGTAGAGATAAAAGCTTTTACAATTTTCATTTGCAATTTTACTCACCCTTTTACTCCTTCTGAATAAAAAAGTTTAATTTTGTCAAAAATTGCATCACACACTTGAAGCTCAGAACATTTCAACTAGCTCTGAAGTTAAGTGATTATTGTGTGCTCAAAACTGTAGAGTATGCAGTATCTTTAAAAAATGAGGATTAGTGATTGAATAATAGGAAGAGTTTGTTCCCCTTTCTGCTCCAGGGTTCATCTCTTCTTTATGTTCTTTACAGGGATGTTGCACTTTGAAGAGACTGTGTAAGAGCTCCCCTACTGTGTGTTTCCTGGATATAAGGCAGAAATAAAATTGCTGAATTCATAGCTGATACTCTCCTGTGTTATATAGACTACTGAATTACATGGAATACTGCAACTGTAAAAAGATTTTTAATAGTGCACACCCTGGATCTGAGTTCAAAATGTTGTAAAATATTATACACACCCATTTCTTGAATTATGAAAGTGCTGGCTGAGCCTCCACAGTTCCGGTATTATTGAATTTTGCACTTAAAGCAGGGTTTGGGGTTCTTTGTATACCAAAGAGACAGCATATTAAAAACTACACCATTTACTATTTGGCTGCGTCTAGACTGGCAAGTTTTTCCGCAAAAGCAGTTGCTTTTGCGGAAAAACTTGCCAGCTGTCTAATGTCAGGGTACTAAATCCCTTTACAGTACCCATGTTTTAAATTAATTCTAATTCATACTAATTAAAGGGTTTACCTGTAAATTATTAGAATATTCATTCTATACTCAGTGGCTACATCTAGACTGGCATGATTTTCCGCAGATGCTTTTAACGGAAAAGTTTTTCCGTTAAACACATTTGCGGAAAAAAGCATCTAGATTGGCACGGACGCTTTTCCGCAAAAGCACTTTTTGTGGAAAAGCGTCCGTGCCAATCTAGATGCTTTTTTCCGCAAATGTGTTTAACGGAAAAACTTTTCCGTTAAAAGCATCTGCGGAAAATCATGCCAGTCTAGATGTAGCCACTGAGTATAGAATGAATATTCTAATAATTTACAGGTAAACCCTTTAATTAGTATGAATTAGAATTAATTTAAAACATGGGTACTGTAAAGGGATTTAGTACCCTGACATTTCTAATCCCAAATGACCTTGATATAAATTATCTTAATAATGGATTAACACAGATTCTTCAAATTTCCCAGGTTTTTAAAACGCTCTGAAATCTTGCACTGAGAATACATTTGAAGTTTTAAGATCATGTTTGCCTTCGTCCTTCAGAAAGGAAGTTTATGCATCAGACTTAGTGAACAATAATCTTCTTCAGATAATGCCACCAAAAAGGTACTTTGCAAAATGCTTACTAGCAGCAAACTAGCATCTTACTAGCAGCAAACAAAGAATGCCAATGACACCATTCACCAGCAACTCACAGGGTTGCTCTCTACCTCCTAACAGTATCAGAGGCTACCATCTTCTGAGTAGGCTGGCTTCACTTCTATTGAGAACATAGGAGGAAAAACCTAATTTGAAAGAGAGCATCTCCACGAAGGGTAACCTGTGGCCCCCTGGCAATAATAGAAGATGGCAGCCATTTTGACAGAGCAATTTTTGGTAGGATTTATCATGACATTACTAGGGAGGAGGAAAGAGGAAAAAGATCAGTGTGTCTTTTAAAAATAAGTTTAATCAGCAACACAAATATTTTAAATAATCATACAGTTATTCTATTCTATTGCTATAGGATAAAGTTAAGATTGTTTGAGAACCCAAACTGCATTTACATATTTTAACATCTTTGAATTTCTTTTAAGTTTAATCTTAAATGTGAGTTTCTTGACATTCTAATTTTTTAATAGAATTACAATATCCCTGTATTGTATTTTACCCTAAATTACTGATGTAGAATCATAGGATGGAAGGGACCTCAAGAGGTCATCTAGTCTAGTCCCCTGCACTCATGGGAGGATTAAGTACTACCTAGCAGTCTTAACTCCATCCTATCAGTTTTTCTCTGTAGTATTATTATTAGTATCTTAGATCCTCTTGTTTCTTATCCACTTCCCCTCCCCATATTCTAAGACATATCTATTCCAGGAAAAACCTCAGTATATCCTTCTGATATTAAAGGGAGGAAACCACATTTGCTCAATATACTTCTCCAACCCTTTAAGCATTTTGTTATTTCAGAACATTTTAAGCAGATATGTAGTACTGATTTGAAGGATATATGTCAAGTTTAACATTTTTGAAGGTGTTTATTTAAACACAGAAAAATAAAACCAGACAAGTATATACTCTCATACCGTCACTAAAAACGTCTGCATTGCATCTGAGAGTGAATCTCCCAGCCCAGTTCCAGCTGGAGCTGCAACATCAAAGAAATGGCTACACAGCTATTTTTAGCACTACAGCACCACCCCTATTATCATAAGTCTCTGGACCTGGCCTGAGAAATTCGCTCTCAGATGCAGTTTAGTGATTCCCTATAATGCCTAATAAATTCTCAAATCATCCAAAGACCATTACCTAATGTATAAATTGCATGACAATACACCATCGAATTTGTTTCTGCATTATTAATAAAAGCAAATTATTTCAGTGGCAAATTCATAAAGCTGGATCTTTGGCCATGGTGGCTGTATAGACCAATGTGGGAGGTTTGGAGCTATCTTCTGTGAGGATCATTAACACTTTCCATTGTGAAAGGAGGGTACACCAACCCTTTGAAAAGGCACTGGTGAGACTCCTCTTCAAGGAAGCATTTCTTGACTTTAACAGTCTTGTCAACTACCACTCTGTCTCTAAACCCCTATGTTAAACAGATTATATTAATAAATGGGGCTTTCCAGACTCATCTCAATCTGATCATCAGTCCCTACAACCTTAATGTTAAGCATGGATTTAGTATAGAGATGTTTTCATTGATTGTTGACAATTTCCTCTTGGGACAGACAACAATCAAGTATATACGATCGATGTGCTGGCTTTATAAACAATATAATTTGACAGCATTTGAAAAATTCTTTTATTAGTTGCAAATAAGGCCTATTATGTGCTAAGGAAGAAGGCCTAAGCTATTAATTTTCTAACGAGCTTAAACGTTAAGTTAAAAAATAAGGTTTTCAGATTTACAGCTGTCAGGGTAATCTTCTCAATATGAAAGCATTAACCCATGATGTGTTATCTTTCTGAGTTTGTAGACAAACAAGCTCCGGTGCCTTTGTTGCTCTTCATGATTTTCCCAATCATCTACAGAGTGAAATTAACAAGACTGATACTACATAATACTATAGGTGCAGCAAACTAACAAAAACCATGTCAATTTCACTTAGCTGTTGTTTGGAAATCATGAGAAATCTTGGAAGCAGACACTGGCACAACGATTCCATCATCCTCTGCACCCTAGTGAGGTGAGAGCTTGGACTATGAAAATTAACACTGAAATTCTCTCTCTGATTGGATTTGAACAACAGTAGGGAATTTCCAGCCACTGACATCTTTCTGTCCAACACGACATCTCAGCAAGCCCCTTTAAAACCACATGGAGCACCTCCAGCTCCAGAGTCAAGCCTCTTGAATAAAAGACTGATGCAGCTGCCAGAATACCTGTTTTTTTTCCTGCTAAACGGGACAAGCCGTTTAAAAGCATTTATATTTAAAATAAAACATAGAACTAAAAAAGATACAATCAATATTATGTTGCTTGGATACAGTATCACACTACCTTTCTGTTTTCTGAATTTTTATACCATAAACATATTAGGGAAGCATTACTTCTTCCTATATGTTTGCTCAGCACCTACTACCAGAGAGAGGCTTGATAGGGACTGAGGGCCTCAGGGACTGTGGGAAACATAACACAGATTTCTTGATATTCTGTTTAAAAATTTTACCGGTGTAGTGCTCAAAATGGAGCTAATACAGCTATCTAAATTAATAAGTTGTAAATACTTGTTTAAAACAAGTTTGTCCAAACTGAATTATGAGGCTGACATTTTTCAAGGGGCAGAGAAAAGAGGCGTTGGAGATCACAAAACTGGAAAATATGAAGGAGCATTGGGATTCTGTAATGAGAGTTAAGAAAAAAAGAGAAGAAAGAAAAGTAAAAAGACTGGGTAGGGTCACCCTTCCCTTCTGTGCTTCAAAAGAGGCTCCTACCTAATGCACAGGTGCTTCTGGACAGCTGCCACATCAGGGAAGTAAGTAAAAGGGCAAAATTTAAAACAGCGCCCCACATTGAACAGGTTTGATATTTCGATTCTGTAGGCCGTGAGCAATGGGGAGTCCTTCAAAGGTTCTCTGGCTTCTCTTCTGCACTGGCCTCCGCGAATCCTCAAATTGACACCAGACAGTAATAACGCAAGGAGCCCGGAAGGTAACTCGACAGGATCCCACCCAGGCCCAGCCCATCTGGCCCCTCGCCCTGTGCCCGCACCCCAGCAGCACAAAGAGGCCCCGAGATGAGCTAGGACCGGCA